CTGCAGGGTCTCTGGGAACGAACAGCCTACTCCACAAGTGAGTAATGTCTAACTGGAAATGCCCTAGACTTGGGAGTCCAGTCCCTGCTTTAGGTTACCTGACAGACTCAGTTGGCCAACTGGTTCACAGACCTAAGTCAGGGTGGAACCCAGTTTCCTGTGCTGGGAAGAATCAAGCACCACCGCAGTCCATGCAGCCACTATGTTCCCAAGCCTTCCCCAAAGGGACCTGCAACTATGTACTAAAGTGACTTGTCATCTGTGAAAGGATTCTCACTGTTGGGCCCCACTTGTGTTAATGACCCTGGGAGGTGTCCTGCGGGCTCCATCATCCCCACTGCCAGCATCTTGGATGCCAGGACCCTGGTAACCAGGACAACTGGACTGCCTGCTCACCTTCCCTGGACAGCATCTGGTGCATGTGTGGGGTGAGGGAAGTGACCAAGGGTGAAAACCTGCCTCGAGACACATCCCAGCCACTCTCTAGGCAGGGCGGGGACAGCCACTTTGGAGCCCTGGAACGAGAAGTTCATGGGAGGCACTGTGTGGGTTGGGGTGGGACTGGGGTTAGGATGGCCAGCAGCAAGGTGTTTCTACTCCCTCGTCAGCTTAATGGTGTCGCCATCCTCCATCCCGTCCCCCAGTTTCTCCGGGGAGGGCGACGCTTCCCTCCCGCGCCGCGCGTAGGGAAAAGTACGCGGTGGGATGGGGGCCCCTCCTGCGCCTCCACTCTGCGGGAAGGCCGACACCTGGGTCTCTGGGAAACTAGGACTCGGTGCCGGCCGGTTGCGGGCTCTTCGGTTACAGGAGGGGCGGATATCCCGCTCCAGGCTCCCCGTTGACAAAGGAAGGCGGGCTCAGACCCCAGTATGGCGCTTCCCGGCGGTGCCTGGCACCTAAGAGGGCCGGAGGGCCAGTCCTGAGTTCCGCAAGCTAGGACAGTCCTCAAGTCCCACCCAAAAGTCGTTCTTTGAACTCTTGGGACATACGCGTGCCTTAATTACAGTAATTCCTACGGCAAGAGTTCTATGCCCAAGATGGCCAGCCGGAAGCTAGCTTTTTAAGCCTATGTGTCCAAACACCATTTGCTAGCAGGCCGGTCACAGTTCCGGAGTCGTCACTTGTCAGCTCTGCGCATGTGCTGAGTCACTCTCGCACGCAAGCGCAGAATGGCTCTCTATCTATGGTCTAGAGGTCTGATAGAGCGTCCATTTGGGCTGGCTTGGACTCTATGGTTCCTACGTGTGAAGATAGGCCGCCTATATAATGCATGCGCAGGCGTAGGAGCGCCTCTTTGCCTTCGGCGCGGTGAGTATGTGTAACTCGGTGGAGGGTTGGTGCCCGTTTTTTACTGTGGTTTGAAACTTGCCTTCATTTTCTGTTCCGATTTTACTTGTTCATTGCAGCCTTCGAAGACCTTTGGTGTCGCCATGGGACGTCGTCCCGCCCGGTGGTGAGTGCCGAATCCGTCTTGATTTGGCGTTGAGGGAGTAGTGCTTTTGGCTCCTTTCACAGCCTCTGGGTGGAGCCTCCGTCCCATGCTGGGACCTGATGCCATGTTTTCTCTAATATTCCCTTGAATGCTTTTATTTTTCGTTTGTACTGTATGTTTCTTTCTTTTGAAAGTAGTAGCTGTTTCTTTTTGTTGCGGTCGAAAGACCAAGACTGAGCATCATCAGCGTTAGGCTGGAAGCGACCTTCGCCTATGTCCAACACTATCCAGCGTCCGCGTTGCGTTGTAGGGGATCTTTTGACTTTTGGGGCCTTTGTATGCAATCCTGTCTTAATTTCCCAGAGTCCTACAGTGTGTTCTTAATCGGGTACGAAGGGCAGTTCGCGCGCAGTCCTGTGTTGTCCTGCAGGGGGCGTTAGGCGCCCTTCACGTGGCGCAGAGGCGAATTCCACACCACGTTCCCGGAAGTGTGCTTCGGTGACCCCGACTTGGCAATTCTTCAATCAATTTATAGTGTGCAAATACTGTAGAGAGAGTGGATTTTTAAACTGTGAGGTTTGAAGTAAAGTGTTGTCTTTGTCAGGTGCAGACTAGGGGGTTAAGGGAAATGCCCACGGTTTAGCGTTAGTCTGGGGTGTCTTCTGTTGGGGCCACCTGTTCACATCCAGTGTTGATTCAAAGCAGTTATAGAACTATTTCCTGCGTGTGGAGATAGTTCTCCACCTCTCCTGGTGGTGGTTTTCCTGTTTTGGGCTGGGGATGTAATGTACTTAAATATTGAAGAGCACAAAGTCAGAAGACATGAAGACACGGTGTTGGGAAGTTTTGTTGTTGGGTTTTTTGTATTTTAGGGAAGGGTCTACAGGGTGTTCAGGGTCTCACTACTAGATCAAACTCGGAGTGACCTGCCTGTTTGCAGCCTCCCAAAAGTTGGGATTACAGGTGTGCGCCACCACGCCCAGTCTCTTTTTTTTTTGCCTTAAGGGCGGGTCTGGCAAGGCATATGGGGCTGGCGCTCTGAACCACAGTATCCTGCGCCTGACTGCGTTTGCATAAGCAGGCGCTTAAACAACTGGAGCAAACTGGCAGGCTGTAGGGTGTTGAGTTTCAAGATGTCCTGCTCCAACTCGCTTTTGGGACTGTGTGTGCACCACCTGCACTGTGTGTGTAGTGTTATATTCTCAGTCCTTGCCGGCCTGCGAAGTGGCTGTCTCTTACCTCAGCCTCCCAAGGGAGCAGCTGAGGTTCCTGCCGTGTGCTGTCCTTGGGCTGTGCCATCCCCCACATGCAGCTCAGGCTGGGCTTAAGGTCGCTTGGTAGCCCCGGGTGGTCTGGAACGCCTAATAGTGCTCCTGCGCCACCACGCTCGCTGCGCTGATTGTTTAAGGACCATCTCCACACTGTGCTGAGTTACTTGTGACTCCCATGTTTTTTCTTGTGCAGTTACCGGTACTGTAAGAACAAGCCGTACCCAAAGTCCCGCTTCTGCCGAGGTGTCCCTGGTAAGTAGCACGAGTGCCAGTTAGGCAGAGAGTGCCAAACCTGGCTTAGCCATACAGCTACTGCTGTTGATCCTGCTGCATGCTCCCACACTGAAGTTTTTTTCCAGATGCCAAGATTCGCATCTTTGACCTGGGGCGGAAGAAAGCAAAAGTGGATGAGTTCCCGCTCTGCGGCCACATGGTGTCTGATGAGTATGAGCAGCTCTCCTCGGAAGGTGAGGACTGGACTCAGGACAGTGCCATGGCCCCTCTGCAGCCTCGCCCAGCTAATACCCTGCTGGGCGATCTGCACTATTCTCTTGCTCTCTTCTCCCAGCCCTGGAAGCTGCCCGGATTTGTGCCAACAAGTACATGGTAAAAAGCTGTGGCAAAGACGGCTTCCACATCCGGGTGCGGCTCCACCCTTTCCATGTCATCCGCATCAACAAGATGTTGTCCTGTGCTGGGGCTGACAGGTGAGTTGGACTTGTGCTTTTGCCCAGAACTTGGGGACTTGTGCTGCGTTTAACATTCAGGTAGGGTATATAGGGTTGCCCTGCACAAGCCTAGCAACCCTTGGTGATTAAAGGATTGAGGTACGGGCTGGCCGATGGTTTCAGTGCACACTCAACCATTCTACACCCAGATAGGTCTGGCCGCTTCATTTAGAAATCCTCCCCCACAAGCTGGGTGTGCAGCACTGAGCGCGGCTCACACTGTTGGGGGGCTTGGGCTGCAGTCAGTTAAGCCGACTGGGTTCCCTGCTGGTGGGTGCCCAGTGTGCAGTGGCTGCACACAGTAACCTCCTCGGTAGTGTATGCAGCCTGTTGCTTGTATAGGCTGCCCTAAGGGACCTTGGAGACACTCCTCCTGGTGGGCGTTCTGTGTATCTGACCTTGCCATCCCCAAACCAGGCTCCAGACTGGCATGCGGGGTGCCTTTGGGAAGCCCCAGGGCACAGTGGCAAGGGTCCACATTGGACAGGTCATCATGTCTATCCGCACCAAGCTGCAGAACAAGGAGCATGTGATCGAGGCCCTACGCAGGGCCAAGTTTAAGTTCCCTGGCCGCCAGAAGGTAAGCCGTGCTTCAGCCCTGCCCGCCGTTCCTGGCTCTGGCCCTCCACAGTGAGCTCTTCTCTCCCTCCCTCCCTAGATCCACATCTCCAAAAAGTGGGGCTTCACCAAGTTCAATGCGGATGAATTTGAAGACATGGTGGCCGAGAAGCGCCTCATCCCTGATGGCTGCGGGGTGAAATACATCCCAAACCGCGGTCCCCTGGACAAGTGGCGAGCCCTGCACTCCTGAAGGCTTCCACTGTGCCATCCCCACCAAGTTCATGAATAAATGTTCTCTCTTCCCCACCTGATGTGTGTTCTACCCGGAGGGCAGGGGTGGGAAGGAGCTCTGCAGGCTGACGAGCACTTTTCCAAGAGCCTGATTACAGGCTTTGTGTACTGCCAGGCCCTGCCCCAGGTGGGAGGGCTGCTGGGCCAGCCTGTTGCGAGGGGATGCTGGGTTCGCTGCTCCCACGTGGGGATGGTCTGCCAGCTGGTCTCGCCAGTCTAGGGCCTTTCTGCAGCAGTGGTCTTGGCGTAGGCTGCTCCTCAACTCCTGTGCACCCCGATATTGCAGGCTTCTGCCAGTGGAGTCTGTCATGGCCTGGGGAAGCCCAGGGCCCTAGTTGGGAGTTTCAGGGATGGTTCCAGGGTCAGGGCCCAGAGTTTTCCTGTGGCACTTCGGATTGAACTCGGGGCCCTTGAGCTTGCCAGGCAAATGCTTATTCTCCTGAGCTGTCTTCCCCGCCCGACACTATTCTTCATGATGGTTTGCAGGTGTGCTGTACACCTGTAATCCAGCACTCAGGCTGAGGTGGCAGGATTTTTTTTTTTTTTTTGCAGAACCGGGGATTGAACTTGGTCCTTGGGCTTGCTAGGGAAGTACTCCACTGAGCCATCTCCCCAGCCCCCGCAGCAGGATCATTGAAGGTTGGCAGCCAGCCTGAACTGTGTAGTAAGCTGCTTGTCTCGTGAAAGACCAAAAAAATCCATATGGAGCCATTTTTAATGTTTTGGATTAGCTTTATTTTTGATCTTGAAGCTTGAAGTCCATAAACCATATGACTACATTCCATTGAAGGCCCTAATTCTGTCACTTAGGTTTTCCTGCTGTCACCTTGGTAACTATCCCTGGCACTGTTCCTACACTCAGTACCATGCAGCTAAGTCACAGAGCACTTGCCACAGGCCTGTGGGTCAGGTGGTTTTTTGGTGGGTCCCTTCTCATTCTATCCGCTTGACCTACCCGAGTCCTGTCCACTAGTTTTTTTTTCTCTTCAGGACTGGGGATTGAGCTCGGGCCCTTGCGCTTGCCTGTCCACTAGCTCGTATGACAAGAACCTTAGTCCTGTCACCTTGTCACCCCACCACTCAGGGCTTGGCCAAGGTCCAGCCTCAATTCTTGCCCAACACCCAGACTAAGCTGCATTAGCAGAACCTACATGGGGAAAGGGGGGTCAGGTGCAAGCCCTTGAGTTGTGTAGGCCCCAGGTAGGATGGGCAGAGGCCAGGGTTTGAGTTAGGCCACCGGGCTCCAGTGCGGGGCCAGGATTGGCAGCAGCAGTGACAGGAGCAGCAGGGTGGCCAGGCTGGGGGGCTGCATGCTATTCGGTGCTTGGTCCAGCTCCACCTCCACAGGGTAGTGGTCGCTGACGTCAAGGGCCTGGAGGGGCAGGATGTGGCATCAGGCTGGGGCTTGCTGTCAACCCGTCTGCCCTCATGCCTGCCCCTACCTCTTCCTCGGAGAGCTGGAAGCTCTGGGGGAAGTTGAAGGCCAGGGCGGTGCGCACAAGCCCTCGGCAGGCCTCGCCGTGCAGCACGATGCGGTCATAGGTGCAGTTGGTGCTGGCCCGCACCGTGGTGTCCTCGCCATCGGCAATGGCCCAGCGGAAGCCCTCCTCAGTGCGCAGCAGCAGCGTGCTCAAGCGCTTCTTGGCCAGGGAGCCACAGTCAGCATTGAAGTCCCCCAGTAGGATGACATCCTAGGACACGGGCATTGGCCTGGCTCCTCAGCCTGCCATTCCCCACTCACACCCCATGCCAGCTGCCTGGCCTGACCTTGCTCTGCCAGCGCCGGGTGGCATCCAGGAACACAGCATGCAGGGCATTCAGCTCGTTCTCCACGTCCTTAGGGGTGGTGTGCAGCGGGACCAGTACCACACTAGAAAGGACTGAGAGGCCCGGAGCCAGGGTTGCTGCCCAGCCCAGGCACGCTGGCTTCCCCCACCCCTCTGCCCTGCCAGAGCCAGCCACTCTCCCACCTTTGTCCCCTCCTACTTTTGCTGGGCAAAGTGAACTGGGCCACGAAGGGTTCCCGGGCAAACAGGTCATCCTTGTCTTCATACTGGTAGAAATTCAGGACTTGGGTCTTGTCCGATCTGGGAGGACAGAGGACAGGATGCAACTGCTTCAAGTCACTGATTTGGACTTTGGCTTTTTTGAGAGTCTTGCTACATAGTTTAGGCTGGCCTTGAACTCACTATGTATTCCAGGCTGTCCTTGAACTTGAAGCAACCATCCTGCCTCAGCCTCCCCACTGCTGGGATGTGTACCACATACTGGGCTTAGCTTGCACGTGCCAGGAGCACAAGTGGCACTCGGGGAAGGCCTCTCCTGTTTCCTGGCCCTGCCTGATTCATGTTGGCACAGCTTTTTATCTACAAAGTGGTTTATTTTGTTTTTTTGAACAGGGTCTCACTATGTTGGCCTGGCTGGCCTTGAATTTAAAGCTATCCTCCTGCCTCAGCTCCAAGTGCTGTGATGACATGTATGAGCCACCATGCCCAACTTTTAGAAATAATTTATTTTTTTTAATTTAATTTATTTATTTATGTGTGTGTGTGTGTGTGTGGCCAGCTCAGCCCACCAGGGGGCGGGGCTGGCTGGCATGTGGTGCTGGGGATTGAACCGCGGTCCCTGTGCTTTGCTAAGCTTGTTCTAAGTAGGTGCTTTTGGGGAGATGGCTCAGTAGGATAAGCGTTTGACTGGCAAACGCAAGGATCTGAGTTCAATCCCCGGTTCCACCAAAAAAAAAAAAAAAAAAAAAACATTCTAAGTAGGTGCTTTAGACCACTGAGCCATCTCACCAGCCCCTAGAAATAATTTAAACAGGGGCCGGGAAGATGGCTCAGTGGAATAAGCACTTCCCTGGCAAGCACAAGGGTCTCAGTTCAAGCCCCCATTCTGAAAAATAAATAAATAAAAAATAATAATAATTTAAACAAATTTTTGGTATGTACATGCTGGATAGTGAACCTAGGGCTCTTCACCTGCTAGGCATGCACTCTACTACTGAGCGACGCCTCTAACCCCTTAGAAGTTTTTTTTTGGTGGAACCGGGGATTGAACTCAGGTCCTTGCGCTTGCCAGGGAAGCGCTTATTCCACTGAGCCATTGTCCCGGCCCTTAGAATTTTTGGGGGAGAGGGGACTGTGGTCTCTGAGTCTCAGCCTCTCAAGTAGCTGGAACTGCAGGCATGTGCCAAGTACCAATTATAGCTTTTTAGTTTTTTATCAAGATATAATTCATAGGTGTGGTGGTACATGCCTGTCATCCCAGCACTGTAGGAAGCTGAGGCAGGAGGGTCACAAATTTGAACTCAGCCTGGCTGACTTAACAAGATTCTGTGTCAAAATAATAATAAAAAAAGGATTGGGGATGTAGCTCAGTTCAAAGTCCCTGGGGTAGGGCCAGCGAGATAGCTCAGTGGACTAAGCGCCTGCTTAGGCAAGCTCAGGGGACCAGGGTTTGATTCCCAGCACAACATGCCATGCTGGTGCTGGCCCCGCCCCCGGGCACACTGAGCCAGCTGGAGGCTGGGCATGGTGGTGCACACACCTGTAAGCCCAGCACTGGGGAGGCTGAAAATAGGAGGATCACTATGAGTCCAAGCTGTGTAGTGAGATCCTATACAAAGAAAAAAAAGGGGGGCCGGGGAGATGGCTCAGTGGAATAAGCACTTTCCTGGCAAGTGCAAGGGCCTGAGTTCAATCCCCGGTTCTGCTAAAAAAAAAAATCCCCGGTACTGGGGTACTGGGCGGGGAGAGATAAAAAAAAAAAAAGTCCCTGGGTTGAATTCCCAGTGCAAAAAGAAGATATAATTTACATGTCTTAAAACTTACCTTTAGGGCTGGTGAGATGGCTCAGTGGTCTAAAGCACCTACTTAGAACAAGCTTAGCAAAGCACAGGGACCGCGGTTCAATCCCCAGCACCACATTCCAGCCAGCCCCACCCCCTGGTGGGCTGAGCTGGCCACACACACACAAACACACACACACACACACACAAAAATAAATAAAAATTTAAAAATAAATAAATAAATATATTTTAAAAAAATTAAAAAAAAACTTACCTTTAAAGTGTACAGTTGTGGGCCGGGGATATAGCTAAGTAGAATTAGTGCTTGCCTGGCAAGCACAAGGGCCTGAGTTTAATGCCCGGATCCACCAAAATAAATAAAGTGTACAATTCCATGGCTTTGCATCCATTCCAAAGATGTGCAACTGATTTTAACACTCTTGTTACCTTCAAAAGGACCCTGATACTGTGCCATGTGCAGTTCCTTGCCACCCCTGCCCCAGGCCCTGGATGCTACTAATCTGTTCCCTATAGTGACATTTCATAGGAATAGAAATGAATCCTGGGGGGGCTGGAGAGATGGCTCAGTGGTCTAAGGCACCTACTTGGAACAAGCTTAGCAAAAGCATCAGGGACCGCGGTTCAATCCCCCAGCACCACATGCCAGCCAGCCCCGCCCCCTGGTGGGCTGAGCTGGCCACACACTCTTTCTCTCTCTCTCTCTCTCTCTCTCTCTCTCTCTCTCTCTCTCTCTCTCTCAAATAAATAAATAAAAATTAAAAAAAAAAAAAAAGAAATGAATCCTGGGGCTGGGGAGATGGCTCAGTAGGATAAGCGCGGAAGCGCAAGGGCCTGAGTTCAATCCCTGGTTCTGAAAAAAAAAAAATGAATCCCATGTGATCTTTGGTGACTGGCTTCCCTCTTTAGCACAGTGGTTCCAAGGTGCCCTACACTGGGGCACGTGTGTGTGTGTGCTTTGTCCCTTGAATCCCAAGGGACCCCACTAGTCAAGTGGAACACACTCTGTCCTCGGTTCTCCATGCCCAGCTATCCCGACATGGACAGCATCCACTTTGGGGTTATTTATTTTCCAGTACTGGGGGGTTGAAGCCAGAACCTTATCCTGCTGCACATTCCCAGTCCTTTTAATTCAGTAAAATTTTTTTTTTTTTTTTTTTTTTTTTTTTTGCGGTACCAAGGATCAAACTCAGAACCTTGCACTTGCCAGGCAGTGCTTATGCCACTGAGCTATATCCTCAGCCCTATTTTTTTTTTAAATTTTGAGACAGGATCTTGCTAAAATGCCCTGGCTGGCCTCAAACTTGTGACTGTCCTGCCTTAGCCTCCTAGAGTGCTGGGACTACAGGTGGCACATCCAGCATTTGGAGCTTTTATGAATCACAAGCTGGTGGACCTGTTTTCACTTCTCCCAGACTGATCTCAAGGAGATGGAATTATTTCTATTTATTTATTATTTATTTATTTGGTACTAGGTCTTGCTACACAGCTCAGACTTGTAGCGATCTTCCTGCTTCAGCCTCCCCAGTGCTGGGATTATAGGTGTGTGCCACCACACCCGGTTTCAGTGGCCAGCATGGCCTGTAGTACCAGGGATCGAACCTGGGTCCCTGCACCTACCAGGCAGGTGCTTAGACCACTAAACTATCTTCTGGGCCTTGGAGTTATTTCAGAGTAAATCCCAGCCTATATAATGTTGCCTATATAGAAAGACCGGTCTCTTTCACAGGCAGTCTCCCCATTACCCATTCTTTTTTTTTTTTTTTGCACTAACCACTAAATCTTTATTGAACTATTATAACATTGATACAGTATTAGTAAATGAAGAGCTATATAGAATAAAGGGAATACAACGATACAGTTTGAAGCAGGGGTAGGGATGGGGATATGGAGGGCACGGTTAGGGAAGGGGGTGGGAAGCTTGCTGACGGCCATCAACACTGCCCTAACTTCCAGGAATATTTACCATCCGCTGTAATCAAACTTATTCTAGCAACAGTGTCTCAAAGGGTACTACCTGTCCCGAAACGTTCAAAGTTTGGCTCACCAGTTGATCCCTGGAATTAATACCTAGGGCCTTTACTCAATTATTCATCTAATTACCTCTGAACTTTCTACAGGGTTTTATCTAGGTCCAATCTTCTCTCACTAGGTTGGAATCCCTTCAGTTCTTTCTGAATTTGAAATCTTAAGGGTAACAATTCAAGGCCCATTACCCACTCTTGCAATTCTGATTTCAAAGAGCTCCTCCCCAGGGCCTAAAGGTGTTTTTTGGCATTGTTTTGTTTTTTGAGACAGAGTCTCCCTATGCACCGAAGTGCTGGCGTGGCAAGCCATCTCACGCAAGGCCAGGGCTGTCCCGGCCTTCCACCCTGTGCTTACCGGTAGATGTACACATATTTTTCCTTGTATGTGCTGCGCCCCAGCTGCGAGCTGTTTAGGAAGCTGTAGCACCGAGAGCTGTCGAATTTGCTGCAGAAAAGGGAAGCGGGGTCAGGGTGCGCGGTGTGGCGGCCCCACAGGCAGCACAGTCCCGCTCACCGCTTGAGTTCTTGCAGCAGGAAGGAGATGGTCTTGTTGGAGGTGTCCACCACCTCCTGCAGCACCATGATGTCACAGCGAGCCACGATCTGTGGGACACCAGAAGGCCAGCCCTGCTCAGAGATGCCCTGGCCCCAGGGATCAGCTGGACCGGTGGTACAGAAGAAGACAGCAAGCGCCATCCTCGACCTGTGCACTCAAGGCCTGGATGTTGTGTCCGCGCCCTCTCCCCCATGCACTGGACCTCCCGGGGCTGGGCTCTGGGTCATAATCCTTGGGTCATAGATCAGGCCATGCCCACCATACCTGCACTAAGGTGTTCTTTACTTGCTCCTTGGTCACCTTGGCCAGCGTCAGCCGGTGGGCGTTGAAGGCACAGATGCGGAAGGCCTCCGCCTGACCGGCCAGGAAGACGAGTAGGAGAGTGGTGAGGCCGTGCATGGCTGCACGTGCGCCGGGGCCCTGCGGAGCGCAGCTCAGGCTCACTCAGTGGGCCTGCTGGGGGGCGGCGCTGGCCCTGCTGCAGCCCTGCACAACCCCGCCAGCCAGCCCACAGGGCCACACCTGAGGCGAGGCGCACAACACCGCCTTAGGCAGGTGACTGAGAGACCTTGCGCGTCCTCTCAGCACCTGCGACTGCCACCCCAGCCCTAGAATGTTGCCATCTTCCGGAACTGAACTTCTGTGTGCTGATACTAAGCGTAACTCCCACCAGGCATGGTGGTGCACGCCTGTGATCCCGGCCCTCAGGAGGCAGGAGAATTCATCGCTAGGAGGTCGAGGCCAGCCTGGCCACATAGTGAGTTCAAGGCCAGCTTGAGGCACATAGCAAGAGCCTGACTCAGAAACCCAACCCCCCCAAAACAACCCTCTGCCAACCAAAAACAAACTAAGGAGAAAAAAAAGATACAAAACCCCTGAAAACGGAACTCCCAGGCCGGGGAGCTAGCGCGGTGGCAAAAGCCTGGCAAGCGCAAGGGCCTTGTTTTTTTATTTTTATTTTTTGTGTAACCAGGGATTGAACTCAGGACCTTGCGCTTCCCAGGGAAGTACTTATTCTACTGAGCCATCTCCCCGGCCCTACCTTTGGGACATTGTTTCACCAACGTCTTGTCCTCATGGTTCATTCATGATGACCAGCAGGTGTTGAAATGGCTTTCAACGCTGAATACTCTTCCATGTATCACAGACGTACCTTATTATGCACTCGCTCACCCAGTAACCCTGAGGTGCACTACGTTTTTGGTCACTTGGAATAATGATGCTGCACAAATGCCTTGATTTATTGGTTTTGGTTGGGGGCCTGGCCCTAGCTCAGGCCTTTAAGTGGCTGCTTCCACAAAGCTGTCAGCCTCAGGTTGCTGGAGTTCGAACCTCACA